GTTGTGTACTCTGTGTGTTGACCATAGTGGCTCTCCTTCCCCCTCTCTCAAAGTAGGTCCAATCCCTATCCACCTTAGATTTTACCACTAACCTTGTATGCATTGCGAGTTTGGTAGCTTTCAGTGAAGCTCGCCTCACTGAATTTCCCTGCACGATGATGACGGTGATGACAGCATGATCATCACTGTTGTCGGTTTGCCGCCATGTCCTTCAGTGTCTCTAACCATCCAGTTACGGAGTCCCTTGGACCCCAACCCGAAAGACGAGAGATACTTACTCTACCTAATCGCTGTGTGCATTTTCTTTGATACCTTCTCGAGTGCTTCTGAACTTCAAAATGATTTTTCAATGACAGAATTAACTCGAGACGTCTCATTCCATAAAGGCTCCGAATTAAAAAATCACAATAAGCGACAAAAGTGGATAGATCGGTGTCGGTTACTTTATCCTAGCTAGCCCGTTCAATGTGAATATTTAAAGAACACCAGTAGATGTGGTCAATTAACTCACCTTGAGATTACAATTACGATACACATTTGCAGAATGTCGATTAATGACCGTCAGCAACTGCTCCGGAGAAATGGGATTATCGCCCACTTCTAGTTCAATTTTCTTGGAAAAGAATGTCAAAATAGTGTCCAGGTTTTGTATGACATTCTAAAAACAAAAAGGAAAAACCAATGTAACTGCAATCCAGCTCATTACTATTATATTATTATTACCATTATTATTAGATTATGATGAAATATACGTTTGGAGAGATAAAATCAAACGGATAATAAGGCAAATCTGTATCTTAAGATCACGGGAATAGCCGGAGATTCATATAGAACGAATATAGTACTGAGCCGGATAACGATAGTTGACTTATTCACCAGCAGCGTGGAAGGAGATGTTGACAGATTCGTCTGCTTGGTGAAGAAGAACTCGGATAAGGAAAACAGAGTTTGGCTGGCCCAACCAAACTGTACGAGACGGAAAGACAAGCTTATTTTCTGACGAAATACACGTAATCGAAGATTAAAACATCAACATTGTGTATAAATTACTAGCTTGAAGTTAAAAAGGAGTGCATCGAAACTGAGCCACAAGGTCATTCATTATCGGAGCATTATGCACATACATCAAAAGAAAAATGAACACCGACAAGGCCAGCACAACAATTTGATTATTCTCATTAAAACAAAGTAAACTGTTATTTACGGTACCTTTGTTCAATTAATCTCGTGCACGGAAATTCAAGAGCAAGCTGGACAATGTAATAAGGCAGGTTACCTTACTCTTTCCAGATAGAGGATAGGATAAATGACCTCGATTTCATACATGATGTTGTGCGACTTGTTGATAACTTCTCTGATCTGCAGCAGGTGCTCGATCCCGTGAACGGTACCTACTTGCACACAGCACACATTCAATGAAGAACCCGTTCGACGTGTCCCTTCCTGGGATCACCAATAAGCCCGAAAACGGTCAGGCCGAAAACGATTTCATTTCTCTACACAGAAGTGACTACCGTGAAGCAGGTAAGCTACATAATCGAAAAACACTATGGTACATCAGATGGTGAAGGAAACATTCATACTACGACCATTCCAATCGATAACTCCCGAAAAGCAGCAATTAAGAAACCCGGCAATAATACGCCCCATGCTTTGACGCAGAGGAGAAATCTAGTCAATGCGGGTAAAAGGTAAGCCCTAATTCAAGATGATGAATGTCTTAAACCTATCCTGGTACAAAAAAATTTCTAAGAAAGAAGTGCGACTTCAATGCCACAAAATTCAAAGCGTCAGAGTACTAAATAAACAGCACTGCCTCCAGGGATTTGATGATTGAACGGACTGAATACTCACTTGGAACGATGGATGCGATCGAAGCGCGGCTAAATGCTCACGCTGATGCAACAACGAATAGATCAGATTCGCATTGTCCGACAAGACATGGGTAAGGATTGAGTTCAGAATCTCTAAAATCATTCGGATCACCTCCTCGAGTAATGAGAGTTCTTGAACCTGAAAAGAGTGTGTCAACAGGGAGAGAAAAAGCACGAGGTGAAAAGAAGGGGTACGTAAACAGTAGCGCACGAAAGTCTGTCTCGGGGTTTTACCCGTTAGAATAAAGGTAGGCGTGTTGTATTTCGTTGTGAAGCACATGGTTAAAATTGTACTGCGCTCTGTACATCAGCTCTTCCCCGGGGATAAACGGACAAGGCTAAGTGAAACGAGACGAAGTGGCCAAGCAGTGCAACGTAAAACTAAACACGAAGGTGAGATTAAGAACAACACAAGTAGAAACTGCACAGTAACAGAATCGGCGAGGCCGATTAAGCATAACGCGCTTTCACTTGCCATACTGTTAGATAAGTAAAGCTGTAGAGGAAAAAAGAGCAGAGCAGCTAGATGATGTTCAAAACAAAAACAAAAAGTGAACATGAAACTTTACTGTCCAACCCGTGTCAATCCACCTTCAATTGATTGGTTAGTAAACTACGTGCGCCGTAAAAATGCGAAATATAATGTTATGGATCAGGTGCGAACGTTAAGATCATACAAGCAATAAATGCGACAGTTTATACAACCATTAATCTGGCAATTTCACGCCGCGGTTTTGGTTGACCATTTAGATGGATTAGAAAGGGAGGAGAATTAGAATGCTTGCCACTAAATGCAACAATCGAAAATGAATCGTTGAAAAACGCGAGAATTCAGTGACCGGATTCATAACTGTACCATGCAGTCATCGAAAGCTGGTGGTTGCATTTACGCTAATATCAGGACGTTTGAGTTCAGCCCGAAGATAGCATTAGATTGTTGGTTTACCTGGTGTAAAACTTGCACGGAGTTATCTTAAAAGACCTAGTAAAAACGAACAGATTCTGACTGAAGCACATGCCCCGGAATTATCGAGATGCACACAAAACATAATTCATCGCATCCATGTTTCGCGAATATCACGAGTAAAGAGCCAAATTAGATTGTAATCTTTAGCAAGCTCGTTATGATGCCCCTGAAGTAATTTGTGCAAGGATTCTTTTGTCTTGAAAAGCTTGTTTGAAGAGGTTTTCATACACAATTTAGTTGGTTGTGCCTTGAGTGTTTTTCTTGATGTGGTTTACTTTGCTTCGAATGGTCCGTTCAAATTCATGAACAAATTGTGTGCGTAACACGTGTAGCAGCTAAGACCCGGGTGATCATGAACGGTTCGACACAAAGTAACAACATTTATAAGGATGCATTTTGGGAATCCATGTTTGAGCGGCATGAGCATGGGATAATAGGCCGCATACTTAAATTTCATGACCGCACTTCTCCAAATCCCCAGGAATCTTTGGTTGACCGTAAACCTTGACACCAAATCATAATTTGGCCATCCTTGATCTTACTCTAATCACTGTCTAAGGAGTAAAGCCTAGCCCGTTACATGTACAACACACGGCCCCAGTCATGGCGATCTACAACGACCAGACAGAAGAAAGAACGAGCAACTGTAATCAATCAATACTGTCTATGCCTATCCTCTAAATCAGTCGTTCACGGTTACCATACCACACTCTTTCGTGGTTTGAGAAAAAGAACGGATGGATGAGAGTTCAAGCAACGGGGGATTGAGACTGCACAGCATAGCATAATTTGCGGGAACCCACATCTCCGCAAAGTAAAACCTTCGGGAATCCTAACTTGAGTCCCTGGCTTAACGTTCAATGGCAGTGGGTGTTAGACTTGACGCAGAGATGTGACCGAAACAACCGTCGCATATCTGTAACGTAAAAATCTTAAATTTCAATCCTATAGTTTTCCAGCGCAGTGGTGATTGTTTCGTCATGCGCGATTAGCCCTCGGTTACTGATTAAGGCCATTGGAGTGTGCAAGCGACAGCATTATATTGACTGCTGGGTAAGAAGTTTGAACGAGCAGCTTGAGTTGTCGGACGAAGTGCGATCACTCCATTCATCGTCGAGAGCAAATCTTCTGACCACTACTGTTCCTTGTAAATATTGTAAAATCAGCGATTCAAAAATGTAATAATAATAAAGCTTGCCCCCGATAGATAATTTTGTTTCGATTAAGCCTACAGTTCGAAACCTAATCATAACTTCGTATCAACTCCGTCCAACCTCAGTACTGTTGCTCGGTTGCTCGTTGAAACTCAAGCAAACCTGTGAAAATATCAGTGTACAAGAAATGGGATTTTCCTAAATCATCCGCAGGAAACGATCAGGTCCCACGGTAACACTAGGTTGACGGTCAACCCAATGGATGACCCATAATGAAGAATACCAAATAAAACACTCGCAAACACGAAAACCGTTTATCCGAAATACGGCTGCGGGTCAAAGAGCATCCGTTCACTCGACATTGAACTACTTATTCTACCATCAGTTTGTCAATATCACGGAGAGAATTTGGGACTCAAGTTATTCGTAAAGTAACAGTCCTCAATTTGGATGTGCCAAGCGCATTGCCCACTATGATACTTCCATTTTTGCACAGATAAAAGGGAAATTTATCAACCGCTATGTTTGGGAGTATAAGCGATCCCGATCACCTTTTAGTAGTACTATTTGTGTTGTTGATTTCTTTTTTGATCTGATTCAGCGGGAAAGTATTTTGTCGGACTAAAACCGTACAATCGATCAAAACTTGCAAGTGCACACAGGGCCACAAAAGAATATGAACATTGAGTTTGTTGTTGGACCTCTGTGAAAAGCATGCGAATGAGAGCAGGGAGGGTGAGGACACACGCAGATCAGTTGATCACACAAGAACCGTCAGATAAACGGAAGTTTGATTCGGAAAGGCGTACCTAAGTATAAACACACCAATATAGATATTTCTTAAGAAAGTTTCTTAGTTCTACATGTAGTAAAACGAAGCGCGACATAAAAACAGTCTTCACTGACCATGGACTCTTCCGTATTCATATTGTTGCTGTTGTTACTATGGCTCTTCGTATTGTTAGCATCCGTTGTTGAAGATGAGCTCTCGGCGGCCAGCTTTTCTCCTGATGAAGCCTCCGTAATCTGGTTATTCATCACAGTGGTAGATTTCGAGAGATTCTGCAGCTGCTCCACGGTGCGATTGTAGCGCTTTGTCAACAACTGAAGTAAACTGATAGAAAAAAACGGACCGAGAAAAATGTTCCCCTCCTTTTAGCTGTGGATCACCATCCTTCACATATACACACGTGAACTACTTTGATCTGATTTGCTATCAAAAGTCTTTTCGAAATATTGCCTTTTCCTGTGCATTTATCGCTGCACAACTGCAAAATTTAGCCTTTCTGCTGCAAACTGTGATGCATCACAGTGTGCAACTTTTCTATTCAGCAGAAACTCGCATTATACCCTGTCGTTATCGTGTTGTTACATGTATGATGATATTGCATTCAAAATGTGACCTCGCGGACTCCCCAAACCACCCAGGTGCCTTTCGCGTCCGGCTTTGATTATCAGAGATTTCGAATGTGAAAGCTTGAGAAAAGCATCTGCTTTAGTTTGAGTAAAGTAGTAGTAGTCGTAGTAGTAGTAGTAGTGCCGGGCTCATGAACAAATCAGGAATTGATTTTTCTGTCATGAAGATTCTTACACCATGATCTGTTTCACAGTTGAGTGATTATTATGGTTATTATTATTATTACCAATAACTGTTATTAATAATAATACGTTCACTGTAATCACCATCGAGTCACCCGCATCACCAAATGCTCCACGAGAAACCGTCATGTCTACCCGGACAGCGCATCGAGACTATCACGCTTAAAAACGATTCACCCACGTGCATTGTTTTTGTATCTACGAAAAAATGCGCATTCACCTAAGTGCGACATTCAACTTAGTTGTGTTGCCCATTTTTTCATGGTGTATCGCAAAAATGCCTCTGGCCATAGACACCACATGTGCAGCGCTTGCTGTCTGAGTGGACGACGAAGTGAATTTCACCAGAACTGAATGCTTTAATCAGTGAACTTGGCAACAGATTTTTTTCATTTTTATTTTACTTCCTTTTATAGAATACACAATGGTACAATTTTCAGGAAGGGGGAAGCGGCCAATTAAAGGGCTGCCATACAATACACATAATGGGGAAAGACAGGCGGTGGTGGTAGGATTCGAACACACGTTCTACGAAGTGATTATTGGTGACGTTACCACCGACTGGGTAATAACATTTTTCGCTTTATGGGAAGCGGTAAGGTGGATTTCCTCCGGGCGGCGAACTACTGGATCCGGCTCATTGATCAATACAGATCGAAACTAGTCACCAACCTTTTGGCTCAAATAAGGACATGGATTGTTCAGTATGCATTTATGATGGTTTCAATGGAGCTCGCCGAGACAGGGTTGAGTTAATATCTATCAAAACAGTATATCGGTCCACGGATAAGGATAAATACGAGACAAGAAAATAGCATGATGATGATTCAGAGATTGGAAATTAAAAGCCAAAATGGATCCGTGTGATGGAATATAGGGAATCGACTGGTAACCTACAAAAAAGTGCCACCACTTCCGGTTCACACACTACGCTCTATTTAGATCATGTGCAGGTCGATCGATCTCCATGAGGCTGTTATTATGTGGTTCTCTGCTGCATCTGTTTCAATATTATCCGCGAAAATGGGGAACAGAACAATAAACGAATACTTACAACATGCAGATAATGAAATTAAGCATCAGGATGAGCCAGAAACACGCTCACTTACCACAGGAAAGAATCGCTCACATGTGGATGCAAATTTTTTACTTTGGCTGACAGATTGGCCAGAGCAGCAAGAATATTCACATGAAGATATTTGTCCTGAAGTCGCATGAAAGAAAATCAATGTGGTTTGGGGCAGCAATTACCGAGTCTTATAGATTACATGTGAGAGCACAGCTTCAAGTAACCGAAACCGATTAACAAATTAAGTATACAACAGTAAGAAGTAAGGAGTTTAATAGGTGAGACGACTTTGTTGCCAGATCAGAGGTTGAAGAAAAGCCATAAAACCATGTCTGAAAAGTGGTAGATGATACTTTCATCAAGTTCAATACACCTGAGTTTAAGCAACGATGTAACCTGGCAGCATAATTAGTGTATTACCCAGATCGGAGCCTCAGTATGGCCGGCGGTGAGTGTCATGGGTTGTGACTGGTCCGCCGATCCCCTACAGACTGATTTGCACACACTGCAAAGCTGTCTTGCGGAGTAAGCTTCGGCTTGACCTGGGCAACCTAGCCGTACTTCGCTCACGAGGAAACCATGAACATACTTCTTTCACACAGAGATTACTGTATCGTTGTATCTGGTAGACAGTCTGCACTTAAAGCTGATAAAATCGTATTGGAAATTGATAGAGCGGAATTGTTGCCGAAAAATTAGCTTGAAGCAGACAACGCAGATGCAGTGTTTCGTCTGCACACTGGAGCGTATACTGTCAGACTGAGTGACTGTAGAGTCAATCGTGTTTCTGTTTCAAAACTTAGCTATAGGCGTTTGTCGGAGGTGCATCAAGCTCTTACATTTCCCTCTCTGTCACTCAGTCTCACTACAATAAGTGGCTACTAAATTGAAGAAGTACCTACATTCTGAGTCCCCAGTCTAAGCCAGGTGCAAATTTTCAATGCACCTGACCCATTCATTAACGAAATTATACGCGAAAATAGAAACTTCATATACTGCGTATCACAAAAAGAATGCGAAAGTAAAAGTCATACATAGTAATTATGCAAAAAGCCTTACACCTTTGGTTACTAGTATGAAAAACAAACCTGACATTTTGTTTTTCTTCAGTCCCAAAGATCAAGCCGACAACCGTAAGTAGAACTATATGCATTGCTGACATAACTGCACAAAGGGAGAAACGGAACCAGTACTTTACTGTTCCGATACTTGGTGCTTCTGATCACCAATACGACTAACGTTGAGGGTCCCGGCTTCGTCATGCAAAATGGACTACACAGTTCTCGTTCATTTCAGTTTGTGCTTTGACACCGATTGCCACAGCAGCACAATACGATTGGAAAACCAATAAATCTAACAATAAAGGAGAACTCCTAAGGTAAAGGTGAATAATGGAAGAATTGGATGCCAGTACCAAATAGAAACCATCATTTTCGATCAGGTATAACTACATCTAATGTAGTCAGATCACCCAGGTCAATGAATTACGTTATAGTCAAGAGGTGACGCGTTACCGGTTTTCAACCACTACACTATTCACTACAGTAAAAAAAAATTAGCAGTTAAGTGAAATCAAATCACAGAAAACCGGTTGATAATGCGTAAAAAGAAACATCGACCAAGGATACATTACCTTGAGTTGGTTCAAATGATACCGGATTGTTCGTATCAGGACTAAGATGATTAGACTTCCACGGGAGATGGATGTGAGACGACGACTGGGGGACCAGTCAACCCAGTTGATGAGCTACCAGGAAACAAGAAGGACAAGAAGGAATGGTTCGTGAGGCATATGGATAGAGAAAAAAAACAAAATAATCAAGACCTGATTTTGAGCATGACAGCAGAGAGAGAGGGTGGGATTATATGGAATCTAAGTCGCCTGTCTAATGAGACTTCTGTCAAAACCAAAGGAGAGAACAATAGAAAAGGACAAGAGCAGTGTTATCTACAAAATAAACTGCAAGAACTGCCAAAAACACTACATAGGACAAACTGGAAGAAAACTGTCGGTGGAGAAGACCATATATATAAACGAACGGGTCAAGCACAACACTGCCACTTCACAAGCACTGATGTCACCTTGGCGGGCAATGAAACATTTGCAAACAAGTTACCAAGCTCGGCGAACAGGCGAAATGGAATTCAGTTCACTTGTGTTACGGGAACCGATTTTCAATTTTGGTGTACACTCCACGATTACGTGTAGGAGACCCGAGGTTCTCGCCCCTCTATACAAAGCCATAGAGTTAAACCTCACCTGGAATATTTTGTTCAGGCATGGGCACCCTACTTTCGGAAAGACAACGAATGTCTAGAAAGGGTGCAACGTCTGGCTACAAGAATGATGGTGGGACNTTTATATGAATAAACCCAATATTCTGATATAGGTCGATGGCACATGCGTGCAGCAACACGGTCAGTATTCAACAAAGTGAACAGAAACAAATATTTATCAATCACAGTGACAGAAATGTGCAGGGAAAAAGAGAAAAAGCTGAAGCTGGAAAGACAGTTGTGAAGAATTTGATGCACAAATTGCGAAGACAAGATCCCTACCAACTCACCGAATTATGAATTTCTTGACCGAATTTTTCGTTTTCCGTGAGAATCAAAATGATAATGAGGGCCATGTAGACCAAATGGGAACTGTCTGCTGGGGAACGATATAGCACATTGAGCAGCGGCAATAACTGCAAAAGCAGGACAAGATTACCGGGTAATAACTGAGAGGAACACAGGTATGAATACACATGAATTAAGCGACAAAACTAATTGGCAGACCATAAGATAATCAGAAAACCGTAGTGAACTCCACAAAAAGGATATAGGGTAGCATCATTGTACTGATTAACGAAGGGTGAATAGCCCAGACAGTATCTGCTATGGGTGGTCAGCTAAAAATATACCTCAATCAAAAAAGTAGTCTAGTCCTGAAGGTTTCAGTATGGCCAGGAATGGGTGCCTTGGCTGGAAATTAGTCACTCTCCCTGCAACTCAAAAAAGGATTCCATATGACCAAGTGTTTCAAACGGTCTCTGTATGGAATATCACAGCAGAACACCGAAATAGGATTGGGAGGACATGTTGGTATACGTAAAGATGATTGATTGTGACGTTGTCCGAGCTTACAAATCGGAAGTAACAGCCGCCGCGGTTTACCAACGCACGCACCGATTCATGGCATCAATTATCCACCGGAAAAAAGATACCAACTGTTGAACCGCATATTTTTCTTACAAATCTTAGTGTGATGACCAGGGAAAGAAATGGTACCCAGGTATCTACTTTTCCGCTATATGAACCGGTTATCTAAGCCCTGGGACATAGAGCAGTGAATTATACGAGGCCTGAATAAGACAGTGGAGCTATCTATCACCAAAAGTGAGTCGTGGTGGCAGGATTCAAAAGGTAAATCTAGGGGCTCGGAGCATGCCAAGGAAACCAACTCGCATTGCCTGATCACCGCCGCACCGATATGTTGAAAAATAAGTAGCACCAGTGTACGCACCAGTTTCTCGTAGTTCTGATTTTGCAGTAGAAACGCTTGGAAGTGAGTGTTTCGATGAACCAGCAAGTACAACAATAATGCACTACTGTCCTGATGCATGGTCCTTGCAGCTGTGTCACGGAACGCTGTGAAATCGACGGGAAATGCGTCAACCTCCGGATTTTCTGTCGACACAATTCCACGCAACATAGCGCCACCGGGCTGAGACTTGGGCACTGAACAGGGCGAACAGAAAATAATTGAACAACAAGTAAGTGACGTGGCAGTCGATAATGAATTATATGGAAAAAGGTGATCGATCAGAATTGTTTTTTGTGGCTCCAATAATAATTGAGATTCTTTAAGAATATATGTAAATATAATTCCTGAAAACACAATATCTAACAGCACTGCTTAAAACCCTAACACGAGGACTTCTGTAGGGAAAGAACTGACGAACGATTGGCTACCGCAAATGACTCGTTAATATACGATGTACAAGGAGAGGTAGAAAGAACATAATGCAAAACCATCCACGTTGCGCATTCCACATTATCCGATCTTAAAATTAATCCTGAAAAATGTCCTGAATGTGTCTTTATTTTGAACCGCTCTCCATCTTCCTCCGACAATGTACAGATTAAGGGAAAGCCGATGAGCAGGGTCAGTCATGTAAAGCACTTAGGTGTCACTCTTGAAAGTAATCTTCGCTGATCTGTTCATACCCAAGCTGCTGCTCGCAAGTTGAAATTTCTCTCCTTTCAAATAAGAGGGTTGCGTCACTTCTTTTCTGGAAAGTCCGTGATAGGAGCTTTTTCCGAGAATGTGCTCCCCCATATTCCTTTACTCCTTTCCTGTGAATTTGCCTGGTTTGCTGAAAGCGGATTTCAAACTGCTGAGGCATGGCCTCACAATGATAAGCGTCCTTTCCCAAATTATACTATTTGTCCTGATAAACAACATCCATTCTAGATACAGACCTATTCTATCTCAGATATCTGCCTACAGAAAATCCTTGGTACCGTATCCTCGTCAGTCTGACAAGGAATGTGTTCGTTTTGAGCTTTCTAGGATAGTCAACAGTTAATTCACATCTTTGCTCGCTCCATGTGCCGCTTATTAATCTTTTTTGCCAGCATTGTAACGGGATTTATGAAAGCTTGCGTACAATTTGCTAAAGCTTCAATATGAATAAAATATGAATTCAAATACTGTACTGTGCGACAAAAAAAATGGAAGTTGTTATGACCTTTTTGGTATATTACACTATTAGAAAACAGCTCTTCTGCCAGAATCTCAGCTTCAGTTGCAGTAAAATATTCATCATACTCAATGAAAAAGGGAAAAGCGTAAACGGTAATAGCTAACGACTTTCTCCGTCTGACAAGTAAAGAAACAACAGATTCAGTAGATGTCTGGTCAATCGGAATAGCGATGGAAAAGACCTAGACTTGGCCGAATAGACAGCAACTTCTTTTTAATATTATTGGTTGGTTACTATCGTTTTCTTTACTGTAACTGCAAACTCACAGTCGTCTGGGTTCTCGACATTGCGGTCATTAGAGTATTCGACGGAAGAATTTCACTTTCTAATAAAGAACATCTTGACAACTGAAATCATCAGTTCTGTTTACAGATCGTCGGTAAAAACTTGCAAACAGCAAATGAAACGACTCGAAACTTCCTCAAGGAATATCCACTGCGTGGAAGAGAACGAGTAACAACTTGGTTCCAGTAGGATCTGAAAGCGACTCTCGACTCAGTAGACTGCTCAAAATTCCGGTGCAGCCTATCTCTGAAAGGTGTGCTCGCGAAGTTTATTTCAATTTGGCGCCCTTTTTGTGGTAAGAGTCGAAACCGAATCCAAGCTTACGGCACATTTTCGCCCGAGTTCACTATAGAATGCAATGTTCGTCAGGGTTGCCCTCTCGCTCCGTTCCTAATAAATTTTATTAGATTTAACTCTTGAAACAGTCCTATCCTCGTGCGAGGATAGCGGTATCGATTTACTCCCGGGTGGCAGACTGTCTGAGTAGGCAGATGACATTGTGCTACTAAGTGAAGATCCAAGTAATTTGCAAGGTTCTTTGGATAGTTTGAGTGCTAGTGTAGCCATGTTCGGTATGCGTTTTGCACCTTCAAAATTTAAAACGTTGCTACAAGATTGTGTTGGTCCAGCCCCTATCCTCACCTTGACTGAGGAAGTAGACAAATTCTGCTATCTGGGCAGCTACATCTCACCTGGTGGACGCATCACAGATGAAGTTTCGGCGCGCATACAAAAGGCTCGGTTAGCACTTGCCAACTTGAGACATATGTGGCACCGTCGCGACACCCGGCTGTCCGTAAAGGATCGAGTGTATACTGCAGCGGTGCTGCTACATGGTGCAGAAACTTGGCCATTAAGGGAAGAGAATAAAAATAGACTGTCGGTGTTTGAACACCGCTGTCTACGTCGCATTGCGCGAGTCTGGCGGGGAAACCGGCGAGCAGTGCTGAAGTTAGGCGCATTTTTAGGTAATCACGATCGTCCATTGGAGCAAGTGGTCGACTTCCATTGATTTCGCTGATTGAGACGTGCTGCGCATGTCAACAGACAGATTGCCAATGTGAGCGATATTTTCCGAGTGGGGAAGTGAATAGAAAAGGTCAACGGATGCCCAACATGGTTAAACTAACACTCAAACTACCCAGAAAAGTTGGTAACTTATCTAGATCCTTAGTTCACAGTACAATGAACTGCATCAAGTTGGAAATGGAACCAGTACTTTACTGTTCCGATACTTGGTGCTTCTGATCACCAATCCGACTAACGTTGAGGGTCCCAGTTTCGCGGTACAAAATGGACTACACAGTTCCCTTTACCTGTGGTTTGTGCTCCGATACAGGTTATCATTGTTCGACAATACAAATCGTAAACCGAAAAATGTAACATTAAATGAGTGAAGATTAAGTGTGGGATACAATAACAACATGTAAACAGTACTTTTTAGATACCATGAATACAACTCACCACCTCTAGTGTTTGGTTCCGGTGTGCTTCCGCTTTGTTGAGATGCTTGAACTTTATCGTCCTTCAGAGAGAACAGAGCCATACGGTACGGATTCAGCGTAGGTGTCTCAGATTCTAGACCCAATTCCTGGGGTAAAGTGGTGCACTTGCTTATGGAACCGGCTTGTGTCGTTAAAACCAGCAGGAGCAGAGCACTTTGCTCGGCCAAAACGTAACATCCTTGACCGGGACGAACTAGGGGCTCGGATGTAGCCAGATCTGAAGTTTGAGTGGCATTCGATTTATTGGTTTCTTGTTCCGTTTGTGTTGTGGCAGACCCGGATCCACGATTTGCGTATCCCAGGGTAACGATCGTGAGAAGTCCACCTAATGATGGGGACAAGCAAATTTAGAGTACTAAGCTTCTTCCAACTGATACCATGGTCTCTCATAGTAGTGATCTAAGCCGTAGTCACATAAAAATGTAAAACTAACCGATAATCGTATTATTGATATCAACATTCATGACTCCATTTGTTGTCCTACACTTCAATAGAATGTGAATTACAGTGAAAGGAGAAATCTTCATAATCAAAAAGCACACTACAAAAGGGAGAGTAGGGGAACATTCACATAAGATCCACCTTATTGACTCTGCGTTTAAAAGAGATCGTGAGTATGGGGAAAGGCAGAGAGTGAGAGTAGGTTCCACAACTCGGCAGTTCGGGCAAAAAGACAACTGAAGTAATAAATTGCAACATGTAATAAGGATGACTGTGTTTACGTACGGGATGGTCGGATAGCAGTTACAGGAAACTACCGAGGCAAACTCCGAAGTCGACGAAAAATGGGAGCACATATTTTGAAGACAATGGGTGCAATACCGTCCGGACCGGGTGGTTTACTTGCGTTGAGAAAGGGCAATATTGACAAAGTATTGAAGATTGGTTCTCGTAGCTCGGGTGAACTGAATTCTGTTTTGTGAATTGGCCACTTCACAAGCACTGATGATGTCACCTCGGCTGGTGATGAAACGTTTGCAAACAAATTACCAAGCTCGGCGAACAGGCGAACTAGAAGAAAGGTCAATGTTTGGCGGAATTTCGCAGTGCTAATAAGCGGAAGAAAAGGGTCGCCAGTGAAATAAGAAGCAGGTGGAAAAGCAGGATAATTGAGTAGCGTGGAATTGGCGGCGAACCGGGAAGCAAAGCCTCAAATTTCCCGTGTAGCTGACATACAATATCACTAGAAGAATTACAGATAGGGGGACGTTGGAAGGGTAGAAACTACGGGAAATTGCTTTACCAAGGGCTACCGATGGCGGACGAGACCAAGTTGTAGGCTTTAGTGGTCGAAGCGCTTTTTGGTTCTCTTTATGGTTGTCCGGCACCTGTTCCCAGCTTGCAAGAAGCGATAGTGGGAGGTGAGAGTGGGCGAGCGGTACCAGCGGTGCCAACAGTGGAAGACTGAGCGTTTTAGGCGTACAATACGATCACGTGAGTGGTTCAACCACCCGGGGGATTACGGATTGCCGGATTTGGAAGTGTGAAATAAAAAGATGAACGCTCGAAGAACAATGTCAGTGAAGTTGCAAACAGATTTGAAAACGTCCGGTGAAACAAAATACTTTCCGAGGATACGAAGCTAGGAAATCACCGAAAGCGCTCCAGTTGCCCCAGTTGTAGCACCAAAGTGTGTCTCGATGTGGATCGCGGCGGAAACACTTCATGGAGCGAGAAACAATGCAGTGATTCGATGAGCTAAAAGAAGGAAGAGTGCAGCTGTCTGAGAAGAAAGAAGGAACCGAGGTGAGCTCACGAGTATGGGCACAGTCGCTAGCTGGAACAGGGACAGGTGTGGGGAGGTCAAATAGCTGACTCAAAGTTGTTGACCAAAAAGAAATGTTGTTTATGGTGATGAGTGTTTACTTTGTAAGTAGCGAGCGACAAAGCCAGAGAGTGAGTGATTTTGTATTGTCATTCATCTTGCTAGGTAGAAAACTGGTAACCATGATTCTGAGACTTGGACTGGCGGACCACACGAGGCCTCAATCAATCAAGTGTGGCAGCGAGTTGGGTGACAGCAAAACCATCTACCACCTCTATTAATATGAAAAATATTATTTCACATACATATTTATATTTATCACCGGCTTGCGAACAGGCACGGTGAAAAAGCAACAAAAACGAAACAGAACGGGGGATGCAAAAGGGAATGCAATTGGGGTCAAACAATGACGGTGAATAACAATTTTTGTTCCTTTGTTGCACCATACACTTTTGATACTTTTTGTGTTAGTTTATCGCTTTTTATGAGGAGCAGGATCTCAACAGGCAGATCGTACAGCATTCTCGCCACTGACTATTCTGAGTCATATGTCTCAGCGTCTCTAACCATCACTTTAGGCCTCGACCTGGAGCGTGGGTTGCATCAACCGAAGGCAAAGCTGAAGCTAGCTTCTTATGTCTTCGTCATGGTCTGACCGCGGCGGCGATTCTTCTAGCCCTGTCTGGCATGTGCATAGACGATGGGTAGGTATACGTAAAACGCGGCAAAGCCGTCAGAGGCGATGTAGAGCGATTACTTCTTTTAAAGAACGACTACCCACACCCAATAAACAACGACGAACCTCGTCATTGATCACCCGGTGTTCCCACCAGATACGAGGGATGCTTCGGAAACATTGGTGATCGAATACAGAAATTCGATTAGCATCCTCAAAGCGGAGATAGGTAAAGCAGAACACTACGAACAGCGGCGGTGTACACCCTTCCCTTAAGGGACAGTCGGATGTTATGGCGGCGCCAAAGGTGTCGCAGGTTGGCGAAAGCTGCTTTATCCTTCGCTATCCGTGTTGTAATCTCTCCCCCAACACCATCACCAGCTGTGATCAAGCTCCCAAGATACTTAAACCTCTCAACCACTTCCAGTTTATCACCACAGAGTGTGAAAACTAAGTGAACGGTGCATTTGGCTGAGGTTGTATCAACTACGTTTTCACTCTCTGATAAATTTTGGAACGGTGCTTTCGTAGATCCATCACCTATCTTCCTTTAACTGAAAGCGGCTTTCGACTCAATCGACCGGTCTTTACTATTGCACTGCCTCTCCTTGAACGGTGTGCTCGAGAAACTCACCTCAATCTTACGGTCTTTTGATACAAATAGCTGCAATCCAGCCCAGGCCTATAGTAATTTTCCGCTCTCGTTCACCACAGAAAGCAGTATTCATCAGAGTTGCCCTCTCTTTTTTTATGTAACTACGCTACATATTCGATTCTAGAAACAGTACGGTGCGAATGCAATTATAGTGTCATCGCTTTGCTGCCAGGTGGCAAACTGTGTGATCTGGGATATGCAAACGCCATCGGCCTGCGAGCACGCATGGTGCAAATGCCACAAGTATAATAACAATAACAGGGGATGGGGGTGGCATACAGAAGAGTAAAATGGAGGTTAAACAGATATAATAGATAATAGTAGATAACAAGAAAAACAACAATTTTGTTTTAGTTATACTGCCGCGTGTGAACCCAAGTAAGCTTTTCTGAATGGCTTGAGTGCTAGTGTAACCATGTCCCCTATTCGTTTCTCACCTGCAATGTAAAATATTGCTAAGAGGTTGGGTTGACTAAGGTACCAACCTCACACTAACGAGGGAAGCAATCAATTCAGTTTCAGTTTTCACAACCTCTAACCATACACCTTTGTGGTGGTTTTGGTTGCATTTGGAGTAAGAAGATTGGAATGTTTAGAGCAGAGTCAAAGAGAAGAAGAAGAGATAGCAAGGACAATGAGAAGATGCACGAGCTCCATTGTTCGCGACACAGTCATATAACTTAGTCTCCAATCACCGAGGTAGCCACCAAGGGAACCGCACACCATCTACATCACCAAGTTACTTGGACAGCATTTTCATCTAATAGAGAAACAGAGAAATAAATTTAGCTAATTGGGCGAGCGCAACCCAGATGAACTGTAACCAGGCACATATATAGATAGATGTATCATAGTATATGAGATATATGCGATATTCAGGACACAAAGGCGTAGATTAAACTCGGTATTTACTGCGCCATCATGATATCCGGCCGTAAGTGAAGGGTTGAAACCATCCCAAGACTGCATCTTGATGCAATTTGATGGCTTGCGTGCCTCCATGACCCTGCGAGCTATACAGGATAGCTCCTCAGCCGAACATCCAACCATGCCTGAAAGGTCGATAGACAGAGGCCAGACGAAGCTGGCTCATAATGCCAGAGGAATTAGTTTATTAAACATCGACTCTAAACATCTCGCCGGTATACCACTCTATCGATTGTCTGCAGTAAATAAAAAGGCGCACGCGCGAGAAGCAGGCTGCCCTGGTTATATAGACCATATCCTCACCCTTCATCGAAATTTAGAAAACAAACCGGCTCTTGACTCAGTAGATTGCTTAAAACTCTCATAATCACAATCATTGTACAGCGTAATACAGTAGAGTGAACTTCGCTGATCACTGCTAAACTCATATTGCGTACAAGGTAAATGAGAATGTGTAAGGTAGATAGGGATTTGAATTACTTTTAGGGACGGGAAGATAAAGCGAACATCTGTGATCGACACTCAGAGTACGCAGTCCAATTGTGCATACATACAATTTTACACATTCCGGTCTGATAGGAAGTGACAGCAAGATCGCCATTGCTGTCGATTCGCAGCCATGACCTCTAGTGTCTCCAACGATGCGGTTACGGAGTCTTCTGGACCCCAACCCGGAAGGCGAAAGATACCTACTTTGCCTAATCGCTTTGTACACTTCTTCATGCCCCATCTCCACGTCATCCATTGGCCTCCACGTGGCTTTCTCCAGTCTGCAACAGTCACTGCGAATAAGGCGCACTGCGGTAGGCGACCGTTGGACATGCGCCAAACGTGTCCTAACCAGCGGAGCCTATTGAGCTGGATTTGATGCGATAGTGAGTTCGTGTTCGATGCATCCCCAAACATCCGACGACTTGCTTCCACGTTACTGACCCGCTAACTCCATCCCACTTGGGCCAGACTACGTAAGCATCGATTGTCAAAAACCACTAGGCGACGGACATCTACCCGCAAATTCAAGGTCTCACAACCGTAAAGCAGAACCGATCGTACAGTGGTTCAGTATACGCGACTTTTCAACTTCATCGCCGCACAGGTGTTTAAATCCTGTGTACACTAATAGAGCCTTGAAATTCGGGCGGTTATCTCCTTTGATGCGCTACTGTCGTTTGTCACGCAGCTACTCAAGTACGAGAAGTAGTCAACTTCAGCTAATTCCTGATCGTCTAGTTTGGGGTCAGAACTCGGGGACACCCAGTCTTGCAGCATCACTTTGCACTTTGAAGGTGCAAATCGCATGGGGAATAGAGCTACAGGACTTGAAAATCCGTCAAGAGCGCTTTGCACATCCTCCATACATGTGTTACGCTTCGGGGACGAGGAACTCTGAATTAGCGCAACCGATGGTTAGCACCATTTATTGGCTGTCAAAAAGGGTGGCGATGGTGCATCTACTAAATTAGTTTAACTCATTTATTGTCTCCTGCCACTTCACTGTCCTTTGGATCACGCCGAGTGACTACCAATCTCAGACGATTGATGACAATTGATGATGATTTCAAATGGAAATCAAAATTACCCTACTGATCAGAAGGACAGTAAACTAAAGCTAACGATGAAAACGTAAAGTTGTAAATCTACAAGTGCGTGCATGAACTGTTGATGGGAAACTACTAAGGTTCAGCTGGATACACACACTCCGTACAAATTCACAAAGTGACGGACAGTCATTCTAAGGGTACATAAAACTAATCTCTAATCGGCTTGCTGTCGTATGCAATTGAAGCTTTGCGAAAACTCGAAAATGTGAAGCGAAGTACAATTAAAATAGAATATATGAAATAAACTTACCGGCTAGTGACGATGCCGCTCGCCACATAAAGCTAGGTTGTCCAGGTCTACCCATCAGCCCAGGAGGAGTTGGCAAATTTTCGGAGAAATTTGTTAATAGTCGATGCACCAGAGCGGGCGCTAGTTGTGCGCTACAGAAAAAACACTTTAATAATACGTGACCGCGAAAGAATGGGAAGCGTGGCTGAGCACGTCTAATAAACCCACCATTTACCCCAAATGGCGTAAGCAAATACTACAGGAAGTGGGGAAGAAAGTTTTCGATGCATCTGGCAGGCGAATAAGACGAGAGTAGCCGTAAGGATTTCACAGTGAAGTGCATACGTGTCAGAACTACGAGATAGACCGAAGTGGAACAGAAAGACTCACTTGACAGGCACTTTTACTAACAGCTGGAAAAGTATATAAAAAAGCTCTTCCAAGAGACACAATTTGCGATCTGCGGTAAGAAGTTATTGGAATATGAAAATACCATTATGAACATCAAGATGTTTCACAAAGTTTTGCTCGGATAAATTTTCTATCAGATACTTCGCAGATATTCGAAATACTAGAACAGCATTTTGAACCAACGAGCATAACTCCTTGAATCTAAAAAGGTACTTAGCAAGCGAACGCATCAAAACCCACGCCTCTTGCGAACTTTGTGTATATTCCGTTGATACGAGTAGACTTCCCCGAGCCACTATTAACTGAGCCAAAGCCGATAGATTATGGGTTTTTACATTATGCTTCTTGAATTGACGCAGTATAGACGGATCAAGTTCCTCCAGATTATCCAGTATATTACTGACCGTTAATTAGATATATCATCGTCCCAACTTACTAATCGATTTCTGACAACCAAGGCCCGAGGAACTCGACCCAGAAAGGATCCGTATGCGGTATTTGATCT